AACTCACAGAGATCTGCCTGCTTCTGCCTCCTGAGTGCTGGGATTAAAGGTATGCGTCACCCACCTGGCTTATCTTTAACTTTTTCACAGAGTTTTCACAAGTGATAAGCCATGTCTAAGGTTTGATAAATTCACTGTGTTTGGAGAAAACTTGTAGCTCAGGGAGAAGTGACTTCCTGGAGTCGAAAATCCACAAGCCATTGTGGCCAGTGCTGGCCTCTGCCCAGAGCCCTGGCCAGCAGCCCTGTACTTTCCTTCCATTTGGTGCAAGTCTGCTGGACCCCAGGGGATGATAGTGCTTACCTTGTGTTTATTCCACATTTACCTGTTGGTGATCAGAGGGTCAGTGGGTAGCTGAGCTGTTCTTCACAGATAACATTGTAGGGAAGCTTCTACCATGGTCGAGTTTTTCCAGAATCTAGAGGAAGAGTAAAGCTTCTCTTCACATTCTTCTTGTTTTTCAGTGTTAGGAGGTAATAACTGGTCTGATCTTCAGAGCCTCAGGACTCTGGGAATGTGGTGTGGGTAAAACCCTCCCTAGTTGTAAGCATATCTAGTTATTTTTAACTGCTGCTTCCTTCACATCCAGTGGGGGAGTCATGGAGACAGGCAGTCAGTCCCCTCTACAGCCACAGTGAGTGTAAGGTGACCTTGGGACTCCAAGTGGCCATGTACAATTAGATGCTGTTCTCCTGTGAGATTTTCTCTTTCTTGAAGACCCTTAGATTTGACTGAATCAGTTTGGTTTACCTACTATCTGGAGCTTTTGGATTTGATGGCTTTCAGCAGGGAATTCATTCCTGAGCCTCTTGGTGCGCTTACCAGGAGAAAGGCTGCAGACATGCCTCGTGTCTCACTCGGACAGTGGGCTGAGTAATGCTGCTGTTTGTTACAGGAGCCTCCTGACCAGGAGCGGCTGAAGGATTCCAGCGTGTCCGCGGAGCTCCCTGCAACATTTGAAGACTTGGCCGTGTATTTCACTCGGGAGGAGTGGCAGCAGCTAGACAAGCAGCAGCAGGAGCTCTACAGAGATGTGATGCAGATGAACTATGAGCTGCTGGCTTCCCTGGGTAGAGCTTTCGATGGGCTTTTACACTCTACTGTCATTGGCTCAGGGACCTCAGGGCCGCTGTGACCTTCTCCCATTTTTGCCCTCTCCTTATGGGTAGAGAATGAGCCTGTCTTGTGTCCCTTGGAACACTGCCTGCCTTGGGTCACTGTCCTGTATCACCTCTGTATCATTCATCTTCCTGTCCATGCATCCCCCGGTCTTCTACTCCCACCCATGGACTATTAGCCATATGCTGGGTGTCCGGTGGACTAGTGGCATCTGCATGCCTCTGAGTGAAATTGAAATAGCTGAGTGCCATAAGAGGTCTGGCAGAGTAGCCTGAGGCTACTAGCTACTGATGTAGGACAAGTCTGGGTGTGGGAGAGAGGAGTCAAGGAGCCTTCGGAGAAGTGTTACAAGGGACATAAATCCAGGTCCCCTGGATGGAGGAAGGAGGAGGAAGGACACCTAGACAGAGGGTGTGAATGGCATGGGCAGAGCCTGAAGACAGATGGGCCTCTCAGGGTTCCTACTCCATCTCAGTGGCCTGAGGCTCTTCCATCTTTTCCAGCAAGTACCATGGCCTGGGTATTCATGTCAGTAAGTCTGGGACCTGGAGAGTGATGAGGGTGGTAGAGCTGTACGGACTTCTCCTGCATCTGTTCCTTCTCATTTTGCATCACTATGGCAAACACCCCAGTTTGCCATGTAACCTCAGATGGGGAGACAGCTGTTGTGTTCTAGAACTGGCATTTCCTAATTTCACTGGTGTGCACTGAAGCAGGAGTTGGCAGGCAGGGCAGGCCACTGTGTACACACAACTGCAACAGCGCCTCTCGTGACTTCCGCTGCTGAATGACTTCTCGATTGGCCTGTCCCCTTGTTTATACTACAGCTGTAACCTGGATTACTTTCTAACACTTTTTCCCCTTTTCTTCTTTTTAGTGTGTATGAGTGTTTTGCCTGGATGTGTATCTGTATATCATGTGTTTGCAGTGCTGGTGGAGACCAGAAGAGGGCGTCACATCCCCTGGAACCGGAGTCACAGATGGTTGTGAGCTGCCATGTGAGTGCTGGGAATTGAACCTGGGTCCTCTGGAAGAACAGGCAGTGCTCTTAACCACTGAGCCATCTCTCTAGCTCTACTTTCTAACATTCTTCTTCTATATACCTATCTTTATTATTACTCATAGTTCTATAATTATTTTTATGTGTGTGTGGTGCTGAAGTTTGAATCTAAGGCTTGTGTGTGCTAGGTCAATGCTCTGCTGCTGCAGTACACCCATACAGTTGTTTGCAGTGCTTAGGGCTCCCTAGACATTTCAGAAGTTCCTTAAGTAATCATTCTCTCATGGTGACAGGGTGTTTGTCCCCTAGGTCTGGGTGCCTGTGAATGTGGCACACTTTCAGAACATCAGCACCACAACTGTACAGCTAGGCAGCAAGATATTTTTGTTCCTTGTATCTTATCTCAAAGTAGTATGATGTACGCACATAGGAGTGCTTCATAGTTCTCTTTTGGTAATTTTTCCCCCCAATTCTTAAGTCTGGAAGTGGAGACAATGGCTTTTCTGTGGCCTGAATGTCTGCCAAAGACTGGTCAGATGTTGAAAGCTTTGTGTGTGTTTGATGTGATACTTAAACCAATCCTGTAAGTAGGCAGTAATAGTTTCCATATGAGGACAGCCCCCAGACTGTAGTCATTTATATGGTAAGTGACCAAAGTGAATCCTACTGTTTTGAACTGAATGTCCACTGGACTCGGATGAGATCCTTACTGTGTATGTTTGTTACTAGTTGGACTCCACTTTGAATGGACACCTTTGTGGTCGTCATGTTGGTATTCAAATAATGGCACCACATAAAAGGTCTTTTAAAGTTCAAGCTGTGTGAGATTCCAGTGTTTTAGTCTTTCTTCCCTGCCCCCAGCTAATAGAGGTGTCTCTTTCTACCTTCCCTGTAGGTCACTGTTGATTCTGTTACCTTAGTGAGAAGTGGACGGACATTTAGGCCACACCTTCCTTTGACTGCTGCTTCTCAGAGTTTATAATGGGAAAGACAGTTACAGAGTTAAAATGGGGAAAATGTTCTTTCAGAGTTTGTCATTCTCGAATGTGGCATTTATTTTGGTTTGTGGGAGAATGGAACTGAACCCCACACTCATTCTAGGCAGTTGCTTCACCATTGTGGTGGTTTGACTGAAAATGGCTCATAGGGAGTGGCACTACTAGGAGGTGTGGCTTTGTTGGAGTAGGTGTGGCCTTGTTGGGGGAAGTGTGTCACTGGGGGACAGACTTTGAGGTTTCAGTGACCGTCGTCACTCTCTTCCTGCTGCCTGTCCATTTGGATATAGAACTCTCACCCACCTCTCTAGCAGCATGTCTGTCTGTGTGCCACCATGCTTCCCACCGTGACGATATCTGAACTGTAAGCCCGCCCTGATTCAATGTTCTTCTTTGTAAGAGTTGCAGTGATCATGGCTTCTCTGCACAGCAATAGAAGCCGTAACTAAGATAATCACTGTGTTAGTTAGGGTTACCATTGCTGTGAGTTGTCTTAGGATTTCTCGTGCTGTGATAAAACACCATGACCAAAGCACCTTGGGCAGGAAGGGGTTTGTTTGGCTTACACGTCCATATTTATACTTCATCTGAGGAAGTCAGGACAAGAACTCAAACAGGTCAGGAACCTGAAGGCAAGAGCTGATGCAGAGGCCTTGGAGGGGTGCTGCTTACTGGCTTGCTTCCCCTGCTTTCTTATAGAATCCAGGCCCATCTGTCCAGGGATGGCACCACCCGCTATAGGCTGGGCCCTCTCCCGTCAAACATTAAGTAAAAAAAATGCCTTGCAGGCATGCCTATAGCTCAAGTTGATGGAGGCATCTTCTCAGCGGAGGCTCCCTTTCTCGGATGACTCTAGCTTGTGTCAAGTTGGCATAAGACTGGCCAGCACAACTGCTGAGCTACGTCTTCATCCCTGGACCTGTTTTCAAACAGACATCTCAGTTTGCTGCAATCAGTTTCACATTAACTTCCATCTGCTTAGCCATTGTATGGCTCAGAGATCTTCAGCAGATATGAACTTTGAGTTATAGCCACTTACCTGTCAGTCACGACCACCTGGCTGATCCAGCAGTGCTGAGCCCACAGAGGAGAGTCACTGTCCCATATTGGAGAGGGCTTGATCCTCTCTGATCTTTCATGGCGTTTGGAATGGCACCCAGGGCTCACACTGGACAAGCGCTCTCCCTCTGAGTGCCATCCACCACCCATTCTGCTCTCAGTGTTAACTGTGCCTGTCCCGCTCTCAGTGTTTCCTGTCGGTCTTTCATTTTTGGATTCATTCACTTAGAACTGTCTTTGTGTGTCACTCTGCAAACCGTTTGACTGCTCCTTTATTTCCGTGTTTCACATTCTGTTTTCACACTTTGATCGTATTTGATGAGGTCTCTTGCTTCCTGCCAGAAAACATCTAATTTACATTCAACTGATAAGAAACTGAAATTTGTCACTGGGCATGATGGTGCATGTCTGTAATCCTAATCCCAAGACTCAGGAGGCCAAGACGGAAGGATCAAGAGTTTGAGAGGCTGACCTGAGACTATGTGAAAAAGAAAAGAGAAGAAGAGCTGGAGAGGGAGAGGAGAGGGAAAGGGGGACCAGGAGGATATTTGTCAGTAACAGAAACATCCAGACTGGCCTAGGTTTTTTGTTTTTTTGGGGGGTTTTTGGGGGGCTGGTTTGGTTGTTTCAGACAGGTCTCATGTTTATTAGCCCAGCCTCAAACTCACTGTGTAGTTGAAGATGGCACCAGACTTCCAGTCCTCCTGCCTCACCTCCTAGGTGCTAAGACCACCACAGCAGGCTTATGCTGTCCTAGGGATGTGTGACGGTTTGCATAAGCTTGGCCCAGGAAGTGGCACTATTAGGAGGTGCAGCCTTGTTGGAGTAGGTGTATCACAGTGGCCATGGGCTTTAATACCCTCATCCTAGCTGCCTGGAAGCGAATCTTCTGCTAGTTGCTTTCAGAACAAGAGGTAGAACTCTCAGTTCCTCCAACCTCAAATATCTGCCTGGACACTGCCATGTTCCTGCTCTGGTGATAATGGACTGAATCTCTGAACCGTAATACAGCCCCAGTTAAATGTCATCCTTAAAAGAGTTGCCTTGGTCATGGTGTCTGTTCACAGCAGCAAGCCCTAACTCAGACAGGATTGAACTCGGCATGCTGTGCACACTGGGTGCACACTGGACAAGCACTCCACCGGCGTCCCAGCCCCTTAGCCTGGGATTGTTAGTAAAGCAGGACGCATCATATGCTAAGCCGTCAGGTCGTTGACTATGGGTTAGCAGTGCCTGCTTCTGAAAGAGTGTCTGTTTGTCTGTTTTGAGACAGGGTTTCTCTGTGTGGTCCTGGCTGTCCTGGAACTCACTCTGTAGACCAGGACAGCCTTGGTCTCATGAGATCTGCCTGCCTCTGCCTCTCGAGTGCTGGGATTGAATGCCAGCCCCGTGCAGCTGTGAAGACGTTACTGAATAGGAGCCAAAACTGAGAGGGAAGCTGTGCCCTAGGAAGGTTAGACTCACCAAGGGGAGGCCAGAGGGCAGCTTCTCCAAAGCTGGTCACAGGAGTGTGCTTCAGGTTAGGGCAGCCTGGAGCTAGAGGGCGAGACCAAGCTAGGCCACAGTAATTCTTTTAGATCTGGTATTTGGAGTGGACCTCACCACTCTGGGGATGAGAGTAGCCAGGAAGGATCAGAAATCTTTATTGTCTTGAAGTTCTCCAGATCAGGCCACGTGAGCTCAGCTGGGCTCCCTGCTGTGGTTCCCACAGCCCCAGGATCAAGATCCTGGCCGGGAGCCTCTGCCTGAAAGGACCCGTGGAGGGAGGGCTGCAGGCTCATTCCCAGTAGTGGTAGAGTCCTCTGTGTGGTTGAGGAACTGAGGGCTTGCTGGCCATTCACCAAGCACCATGCTCGGTTGTTCTTGTGACCAGCCCCACAGCCACGGGGAGAGAGGCAGTGGTTCAGCCCCACCTTCCCTACAGCAGGCAGAGAGGCTCCCAGTCCGTTTGGTAGCTTCCCCCAAGACGTCCCCAGCACCTCGCTTCCTGAGCTCTCGCCCTGTGCTTTCTGTGTTTGTGCCATGACCTAGCTTCAAAAGAGTAGGTGGCAGGCGCCTCATTTAAAAAAAAAAATCAGCTATTTGATAATTTTTGTGCTAAATGTTTTGATTATATTCACCCCCTCCCTCAACTCTTCCCAAATCTACACCCCCTTCCTCACCCATCTAACTTTGTATCACTTTTAAAAACCTCATTGAGTCCAATTTATGCTTTTGGGTGTATGGCTTTTCATGTGAGCATGGTCAACTTAGCAAGGGTTACACCTCCCCCTTTCCCATCAAATGGCAGTAGGGGTGGAACTGTGCCTACCTCCCCTCCCAGTACTTGAGTTTTGTCTGACTTGAGCTTGCTCAGTCTTGTGCATGCTGTCACAGCTACCCCTGTTTATATATGCAGCTGCACGGTTGTGTCCAGGAAAACACTGGCGCTTACTATCTCTCTGCCCCCTTTCTTGCAATGATCCTTGAGCCTTGGGAGGGGTGTGGGATATAGCTGTGGGATATAGCTGTGGGATATAGCTGTGGGAT